AAGGAAGGAAGGAAGGAAGGAAGGAAGGAAGGAAGAAAGAAAGGAAGAAAGAAAGGAAGAAAGAAAGAGAGAGAAAAGAAAGGAGAAAAGCAGGGAAGCAAGCAAGCAAGAAAAACAAGTTGCTAAAACTTTTAAGTGAACTTTAAGGACTACGTACCTTATGTTCTCATAGCAACTAACTTCTGGTTTCAACCCCGCAGTGTGGCGAAAAACTTTGTATATGATAACTCCAAAAGCCAAGAGATTAACCTGGGGAGATGCAGTAATGTCAAAAGGAGGTCATTTTCATAGTATGCTCTGATTTACCTACATGCAATAAATAAGCAGTAAGGTTTTCAGTAACAGATATCCCAAAGACTCATGTGGCACACACATTTGTGTGTATGTGCACATAAACATGCAGATGTAGGCAAATACCAAAAACCTTCATGGCTGATTTTGACAGTGTCAAGAACTTTCATTAGTGCACATTGTAAGCAGTGTAAGCGCCGTTTTGTTCATTGTTTCTTTGAAAAGAAGTTTGGGAAACAATTTCTACAACCATTTGGAAATTTATCTGGGAAGAATTCACAGGAATTTAGTAACTCAGCAAAACACCACACCCCTGACTCTAGAAAAGCCTTGAATGCACTTTGTTTAACACAGTTCATCTTGTCATCTTGTCCTGACATCATTTTAAGATTTATTTTCCTCATGTTTAACTTCAGAAGCTTTGAAAATACCAACAAATGAAAAATGTTGGTTGAAAAATTCTTCTTTTATTAGACTTATTCTTTTTTTATATTTTGTACTTTCTAAGTACAGTATTCACTTTGTTATCTTACTGTCAAAAGACTGTGAAAGTGCATTTTCTTCTTCTTTCCCTGTGGTTTTAAAGAAAATGTATTCATTTTATTTTATGTTCAGGAGTGTTTGCCTGCGTATATGGCATTGCATCACATGCATGTGGTACCCAGGGAGGCCAGAAGAGGGCATCCGATTCCCAAACCGTAGTTAACAATTAGGCATTACCATATAGGTGTTAGAAAATCAATCGGGATCCTCTGAAAGAGCAACGGAAGCTCTTAACCACTGAACCATTTCCCAGCCCTATTTTCCTGTATTTTTGAGATCTTACAAGTGAGACATGCAATGTCCAAATGTTCAATGCAATCCATCCTAATACAAAAATTTGAATTACAAAATATTAAACGTTATATGTGCAATTAACACATTAATATTTTATTGGATATGTTAGCTTAAATGGATTTTTCAAAATACATTTTGGAGTGATAATACCAAATGCCATAATTTTAGATAGCTCTTATATTAATAATTTAGGAGCTTAGCATTACAGGAGGCTCTCCCCTATTGTAAGGTTATCTCTTTATCTATTGTTCATGATTCTGTAGATGGGGATCAGGACCTTGCACACACTGGAAGAGTGTTCTATCTCTGAGTGACATCTCTTATATCCTAAGGAGTTTTGTAGACGTTTTCTGAATTCAGTTGAGTAATTTCTATTAAAATAAGTATAAAGAAATGGGTTAGAGAATTTCATATTGCCATTTACCCATTGAAAGGTCTTTGAGATGAAATCTTAAAGGAATAAGGGTTCTACCCATTTTTCTGCTTCCAACTGTTCATTACTTCTAATTATATGATTAATTAATTCCAATTACAGTAATACTTCCATTAAAAGACCTTAGCAATTGCAGAGGCGAGATAAAGTATTTTTAAATTGATTTAGTTGACAGTTTCACCCTATTTGGATGTTCAAATAATGAACTGAAATGTCTATTTAATAATATTTAATAAATATGATTTAATATTAAAAAATGAATATGTAACATTTTATACCTTTTAAAAACCATATTTTTGCACGAAATTAGACACCATAATGGTTAATGCCATAAATACATGAATATGTATTTTATGTAATAAAAATGTTTCAAAAATTAGTTGGTATAAATGATTTATGCCACAATTGATTTGAAACTCTGCATTTAATGATATATTAATAGTGAACTATTGTTGTCCACAAAGAGCTATAAGATAAAGTAAGTGATTAAGAATTTATTCTAGATCCATAATTTTTACCTTCATGAATAGGTTGTTTAAAACATGTGGTGCTAGACACATGAGAGGTTAATTATTATACCATAAGCTCACATTTCTTCAAATGTAAAGAAAAAAGTTTAAGATATCTCTACCAAAAAGGTATAGTAAACATAGAGAAGTTAATGAAAAGTGTCAAGAACACTTCAAATATTTTATTTTTATGTGTTGATAGCACAAATGTCTGGGTGTTAAATTTTTGTTTATTTTAGGATTTTTCCCAAGGGTCTCAATCATCCAGTGTCAGACACCAGTGAGAGCTTGGTACATCCAAATTCCTGAATAAAACTGACATGGTCTTTTGTTGTTGTGGATTCTACCAAGAGAAGAGAAGGTAAGTAGGTAGCCTGAAGATGCTCATCAACCCAATGTCAGGAGAGCAAAATGCCATAGGTTAGAATGAGGGGTTAGGCATCGTCCTTTCTAGATCTTCCAGAACCTCATCAATTATAGGTCACAAGAGAATCAAAAGAGGAGGAAGGAGAGAAAGATGCACCTTTATACTACCAGCTCTCAGAAAGGACATGGAGACTTATTAATTGTAAAAGTTCCGCCTACAGCTTAGGCTTGTCCCACTAGCTCTTATAATTTAAATCAACCCATTTCTATTCATCTATGTGTCACCACGTGACTCGTGGCTTTACCTCTCCTCTTTGTCTTGCTCCTTTTGTCCAGTTGGCGACTCTGCCTTTCTTCTTCCCCAAGACCTCTCGGTCCTCAGAAGTCCTGCCTAACTTTTTCCCGCCTAGCTCTTGGCGATTCAGCTCTTTATTAAACCAATCATAGTGACACATCTTCACACAGTGTAAAAACATATTCCACAACAGGTGGCTGTTCTGTGAACACAGTGGTGTCATGTGTGCTGTATGGGTGAAATAAAAAGGGAAATTTTTTCTCCTCTTTTGCCATAGATTTATTTTGTTTTGAGTCAGGGTCACATGGTGTAGACCAAGCCAGCCTTGAAATCATGATCCTCATATCTCAGCTCTCAAATACTGCATTGCAGATATGTTAAATGTAAAGGTAAAATTGCAGTAAAGTTAAAATGATTTTTAAAAATTAATAATTCTAGTTAGAGTGTTAGTATTTTGAAATAATTTGAATTTTTCTTCAGTTAGTCAAGTTTACTATATCAACATTACAGAATCATATGGTGCATCAGCATAACCCCAGGAGCAACACCTACATTTGTTTCTTAACATTACTTGTACAGTTTTTGGCCCATTAATATATAAATATCTTTAAATGATTTTTTATTGATTTATAAGCAGTATATAAATAATCAATGTTATCTAAAGGTGTTCCAAGGCATGTGGCTTTATTTATGTAGGGAAGGAAGTAAAGTTTAATCTCTGCAGTTTACACAGAAGGGGAAAATATTTTATAAGTATACATTGTAAATCCGTGTAAAGGATCTGAACTAAAGTAACAAAGAGTACCTTAAAAGAACTTGATGTAGAATTTAAAACTTCTGATAATGAGACTCTTTGTGATTAACCTACCTTGAGATTAGATGATAAGTAGACACTTGCATTTTGGGTTAAATAGTTGGCACTACATTATTAGCATTATGATTATGTGGTGATATCTATATGATTATTATGGGATTAAAAGCATGAGTAATTTTTAAATACTCATTAGCATCTACCAAAACTGTTTGAAGGTTATGTAAGCTATGATTCTGATACAATCATAAAGGACATAGTTTTCATAATTTTGTCAGTTGTAATTCCTTTGTCATTTATAACTAAGTGTTAGCTTCACAAATGCACAAGGGCTCAGGACTTATAAATGGACTTTCATTGTTGAGTTTTTGCCTTAAAGTTTAGACTTCCATCCCAGAATCCAATATACCTATATAGAAATAAACAAGCAACAAGCCCTAGAAGGCAAACCAAATAACTCTAGGGTTTATTGCTGTGTGTTGGAGCACAGAAGAGAATAAAGAAAGCCATGTGTAATCAGTGTCATGAACAATTAACACTAAAGAGAAAGTGTTACTTTAAATTTAACATCATTTGCCCTTGTAAAGTGGTCTTTGTCTACACCATGATCTATTTTTAACATCAGTATTTCAATGCTTGAAACATATATTTTATTTGACAGTCTATTTAAAAAACTCTTTAAGTGGTCTTTCTATCCTTTTAAATTTTTCCCTAAAATGAAATTTAAATAGATGAGCAGACAAGAGAGCAAGAGAGAACTCTGAAGGACTTGGACCTTCAGATACCTTCAACCAAGGGCTTCAAATCCACAATTCAACATGCAGCATCTCAATCAGTCATTTTTCTTTTCTTAGTCTTTCCTCAATAATTGATGAAGCCATTTATATGCTGATGTCGGATCTCACAGAAAAGAATGGAAAAATATCTTTTGCAGTACTTTTAGACTCACAGTTTAATTTTTCATTATATCAAATAAAATCAGGTTCATTTAAGACTGTGTCATGATTACAACTTACATGTCCTTTCAAATAGTTTTAATACCTTTAAAATAACTGGCACCAGACAAACATGCTTCTGTCTTGAATAAACACCAGGTTTTTATTCGACTACTGAGTGTCCATATAAAGCATTTATTCCTTTCCAAACCATAGACCACTTTCTAAATAATGAAGCAGTTCAGTTTGAGAACAAAGAGACTATGCTCCATTAATTGTATATTAGCAAAATTAGAATCAAAGGGTTGTAATCTTGTCTTCTGTTCAATTTTATGTTTATTATTTATTCCCAGTTGGAATAATCTCTGAAAATGCTTCAGTTAAATTGTAAATCATACACTGTCTCAGAAAAACTGGGGTATGTGGTAAACAGCATACCTTTCCAAGATTTTTCATACTGTAGTACTAGTATCTGTGAGTATGGCACAGACACCACACAGACACACAGACACACACACACACAGACACACACAGACACACACAGACACACACACACACACAATGATGCTTCAGGTAGAAGGAAGGTTGTAGACTCTCGGATGAAGAGATGACATTGAATAATGCCATTAGGCCCCACCTAATCATGTGAGCCTTGATGACAAAAGCGGTCTAGAGAAGAGAAAGCAAAAAAGAGGAAACCTCCGAAGAGAAATGGAGGTAGAGATGCCCACTCTGAAGGCAAACTGGCTGCATGTGAGGGTCTCTGTGAAGCCCCTACAAGCAGAGAGCAGCCCCTTCACCCAGCCAGGGATCTGGGTCTTCAGTCCTGCACTCACATGGAACTGAGTTTGGTCAAGAACATGAAGGACCATAGAAACAAGTTCTCCCCTGGAGCCTCTGGTAGGGTTGAATTCAGGACAGAGAGCTTCTTAGAACTGAGGCAGTTCTTCTGACCTGTGTACCTGTGAGACACATGTGCATTATGCATGCTGAAAAACTCTGGTCATTTTTAAGGCAATGAAGACAAAGAAATGTAGAAATCTACAGGTGTATGTGTAATGTATACATACATATATATATGTGTACGTGTACATATATATGTACAGTTAGCATATATAATGAAAGTCCCTATGGATGATGATTGATTATGCATAAGTAAAAATTAACCCTTATACAATCATTTATCATTAGCTCTTGTTTATTATTAACATTCTATGTATTCAATGAAAAATCAATTATATAAGGTTGTCTTTGTTTATTATTTGTGGATTATGCTCCTGTTTCTTAAATCAAATGACTAAGATTAATTATGCTAACAGCTGACCTCCTTTGAACTGTCACCCATGCAACTTGTTCCTTCCAGTTCCTCTCAATCTCTTTTGCGCTGTACTCCATTCCCAGCATTGCCTGGTATGCTAAATATACATGTTACTTGCCAGTTTAAATCTCAGAAACACAATGAGTATTTTGTTGTGTGTGCTACATACAATATTTGGGACACAC